CACAACTTCTTGTGCTCATTTTCCACCTTTGGTCTCGCTGCCCTCTCGTTTTCTTCACCACCCCAGGACCAACACCTGCCCAAGGCTGTGTGCCTTGCCACATCACATCCTTCCAACACCACCATGGCAGGGAGGCCTCCCAGAGGAAGAGGAGGAGAAGGATTCCTTCCCTTAAAGAGCCCACCAGGGAGGGCTGCCCCTTTGCGTGGACTGTCACTGGCCTTTTTGGCACCCATTTCACTTGCACTCCTCACAAAGCTGCCCTCCAAGAAGAGCCCCCCTCCTTCCCTGGGGTGTGGGAGCACTCACCAGCACAGGACTTGGACTTCAGGATCTTCATCAGGAGGATGATGATGGCCAACAAGTGGGAGACATCCCCCAGGATGCGGAAGACGTTCATGGTGCCGGAGGGGGGGCTTCTCTAGGACGAAGGGAGCGGGGCCCTTTCTGCAGGCAGGGAAGGTGAGGGCAGGGATTTTTCCGTCCCAAGCCTCAACCGAGTGACCACTTCCCTGCAGCTCAACTTTCCTTTCCCCCGAGTAAGGAGCTCTCTCTTCTGGCAGAGGGAAGTTCAGGCTCCCCTGTGCCCTGGTTGCACGCTCCCTCCCCGTGCCAGGCCCTCAAGCTGGATGCCTCCCTTGCTTCTTGCTTACTTTTTCCCCCAAGGTGGATTTTCTCTCTCCCCGTTGCAGAGCTTCCTCGCCCTGCTCCAGGCCCAAAGCCGGGCTTTGTCCCGTGGAGAGCCCCGGGCTGTACTGGCCCAGCAGCCCTGAAACCAGGCTGGGTGACGGTGACGTGGCTCCTGGCTGGCCAGGGAGGAGAGGGAGGAGGCGGCGGAGGCGGGCATAACTGCGCTAGTTTTCCTCTTTTCCTTTTTTTTCCCTTCCTCTTTTTTCCTTCCCCAACTTGTCTCAAGTTACACGTGGAAGTAGCGTTAAAAGGGAAAAGGCAGAGGGAAAGGGATCCCCATCTCTGTCCTTGGGGATGCACCCTCACAGAAGGGCCAGCTTTCCAGGGACGTTCCTTGTGGGTGCGTTAACCTCTGTCCTGCTCCCTGCCAGCAGCCTCCTGCCCTTTGCCTTTCCCAGCCCCGTTCCACCTCCAGCACCTTCTCCCCAGCGCTCCCCCTTGTCTCCAGGGGCAAATGAAGCAACAGGGGGAGATGTGAATTATTACAGCTTCAGCTGTATGTCACACCCCACTTCCACAGGGCATCACGGACAGCCATTCCCTCATGCCCCCCCCCACCAAGGCAACCCTGCCTCCGGGTATCCTGCCTGGAGCAGTGCAGATCAGCCCTGGAGCAAAGAAAGGATCCCCCCCCCCCAAGGGCTGGTTTGAAACAAACTTTGCTGTAAATATGAATCCTGGATTCCTGCAAGTGGATTGCAAACAGCCCAATGCACGTGTGGAGTGCAGGAAGCACATGGGTGCTGCTGGGTTTATAGGTGTAATGGGAGAGGAGCCTAGTAGTGATGGCCATCAAGTTTCAGTGAGTCCAGGAACAGCCCTGGGTGACCAGCCTGGCTGGGATAAACCTTGTCCTTGCATCAGTGGTCACACAGGGAGGTCTCATGGCAGCAGCAAGGGAATCTCATTGTCAAGACAGGGCCATTGGATCTTCATTATCTAATTGCTCATATAAATGTGCTTTAGTACAACCAAATAGAGGGTTTAATTTGTCACCTCATTCCCAAGCAACTCACATCTGGCTGCGGGTCTAATTTGGTTGTGTGACCCTGCCTGCTTCTGCCCCTGCTGCCTTCCCTGTCCCCAGTGTCACCCGTGACCGTCTCCTCCACATCTCCCTCCATCCTTATGGGCTCGCTTGGAGTAAAATCCCTAATGATTAAAGTGTAAAAATATTATTCCTGGTGCTCACTGAGAGGACTAACAAGTCTATTAGCATCACCGGATTCCTTTCTGAATGCATTTGCATATATTTCCTCCCTGCCCATTAGGCTGGCTGCCGTGTTTTCCCTCTCTGCTGTTCCAGCACCTGCCACACTGGGCTTTTCCAGACACATTCCCAGGCTGGGCTGGAAAACACCCGCTCAGCCCTGGGAAACTGGGGAGAGGCTGGTCAGGACAGCAAGTTAGGGGCTGGTGTGGTAGGAGGGGAGCAGGTTAGACCAAAGGAGAGCGTCAGCAAAGGGGCAATAGGGTAGGGACTGGCTGAAATCGCATCTCCAGCCATGGGGGCTGCCTGGGGTTTCAGCAAGCTTCTCCAAAGCCATGCAAGTGCTGGTGAAAGCCAAGCCCCAGCCCTGGTGGCCCAGCAGGTCCCTTCCCACGTGGGCAGAGATCAGTTTGAGCAGTGGAACAGGCATGGGGGGCTTCATGGGAAGGAAGAGGTGTGGAGTTCACTCTTCTGACGGCTCCTCTGCCAAGCTCCTTGGGCGCAACGTCTGAGAGCCCTCAGCATCCTCTGGACCTTCCACTGCTCTTCACAGCTTCTTTTCCCACGCAGGGGATGAAGCTTCTTGCGGATGGCTAGAACTGTTGTGGGTAGCAAAGGTTCGTTCTCTTCATCTTGTGCCTTCCCAAGGAGAGCTGAGGGGCCCCAAGGCAGGCTGTTATACGCTGCTGCAGCACCAGGAGCCACCAGCTGAGGTGACCACCAGAGGGACTCCATGGGAGCAGCAGAACCGAGCTCACCCAGCTGGGACAGGGCGGTGGGGTTAGGGTCTCCCATGGGACATCCTCATGCGGCACTCGAGAGGCCGGTGGGAAAGCTGCTGAGAGGGCGAGGGGCAGCCGGGCGCTTAGAGGAGGGAAAAGCTGGCACATGATGTGGGAGCAAGTAAAAATAAACCTCCCCTCCTCCCTCCCTGCCACAACACGAAGCGCCTTGCACCGGGTGTCTCCCTGCCTCCCGAAATAATGCCGGGTGCTGCCACCGCTCCGCACGGTGATGCTCTCTCCATGCCTCCTGTTTCCATGGCGACCACAAGGAATATCGCTAGGGTGACAGGGAGGCGAGGGAGCTGGGATTTGGCATTAAAAACGAGAATTTGGGGTTCTTCGGTTTCTTTTTTTCCCTTTAGTTCTATTTTTGGGTTTCCCTCTCTGCCTCTGCTGATCTGGGAGGCGCCTTCTGCTGCAGAGCCCCGGGGCCAGGTGGCAGCAGATCCATTGAGCACATTCCTTCTCCACCTCTGCCTGTCCTGTAAAGCAAAAAGAGGGGCAAAGGGGGTTTCCTTCTCCCTAAAGCATTTGTTTCCTGCCACGAGGAAGGGCTCTGTACTTTCGCTCTGGAGGTGCTTGGCCAGGACCCTTCCTCCATCTCTGCTACAGTCTGTGGCACAGGCTGCATCCAGAAACCCCAGGAGGGTGGGCAGCCCCTGAGATTCATCCCAGAGTAGTCCCAGAGAGAGATACAATTCGGCATTCCTAGAGGGGCTGGGAAACATGGTGGGGTTGAGCGCCATGGGCCACCTCTGTCTCTCCACACCTCTGCCCCTGTGACCAGGATAGGGCAATCCTGGAGTGGGGACAGAGATGGGACGATCGGAGGAGGATACAAAGGCAGCCTGGCAAGTGCCCAAGCCGGGGCTGCTGGCATGGGAGTTGCTCTTGTCTTCATCCCCAGGCAGGAGAGTGGTCAGGCAGTGCTCACTCACCTTCCCAGAAGCTCCTGCTCCCCTCTCTCCAGCTCTCCTTCCATCCATCCATCCATCCATCCATCCATCCATCCATCCATCCATCCATCCATCCATCCCTCCATCCCTCCCTCCATCCATCCATCCCCATCCACCCACCCATCCATCTATCCCTTTCCATCCACCCCTCTATCCCTCCATCCCTTCTTCTCCACCCAGCCCTCTATCCATTCCTCCATCTCTATTTCCCTCCTTTCCTCCATCCTTCCACCTTTCCATCCCTCCATTCTTCTGCCTCCCTCATCCCCACAGCAGCATCAGGAAAGGTTGGCGGAGTGGGGCTATTTTTGGGAGCGTCTCCCTGGCAACGGCTGCCACCACCGTCTGTGGTGGCTTTTCCATAGGTGCTAAAATATTCCACGCTTCTTATTAAAGACGGTGCCGGTGGAGACGGGCGGGGGTGGTGAGTGTGAGCCACCCCACTGCTGGGGCCGGCGGGCCTGGGGTGACCAGGGCATTGCACCCCGGCGGCACTAGGACCACAACAGGCCGATGGCATCCTCGAAGCAGTGATGTCCCCATGTCCCTTCTTGATGGTCCTGGCCATGGAGGCTGCCTATTGGCACAAGGTGCAACTATTCATCCCCTTGATGCTGAGGTGGAGGGAAACATGGTGAAGTCTTGGGGGAAGATGGAGTTGAGGAGCAAAAGGCAGACATGGCGAAGCACAGCCTGAAGGTGAGGTGGGTGCAGGGGTATGTGGTGGCTTTGCCCACACCGGGAAGGAGCAAGGTGTCTCAGCAGCATTTTCATCCCTTTCCATACAAAGGGGAAAGACCTGTCGAGGTGCAAGAGACCTGGTATGCTCTGCCATGGGGCACCTTTACAGCTCCCAGCCTTGTGGGAAGCAGCCCCACAGGTCCTGGGGATGGGGCATTTGGGAAAGCAAGCCCCTCCATGAACCTGGACAAGGTCCCCATAGGGAAGGCTGTGGAGGGGATAGAGGGAGTGGGCTGGCCCTGCTCTGTCCTGGTGCTGCAGCTCCCCAGGATCCCCCATTTAAGCAATAGGGAGCAGCCATGGCTGAGGCAAGCTGGACAGTGCAGGAGGTGGATGTGCTCTCCATTTGCAGCTGCTCATCTGCATGGGCAACTACTGAAAATGCCCTCTGCTTGCCCTGGGGTGGCTTTGCCAGGTGAGAGTGGGCTGCACTCACCATGGTGGCGCTCATCAGCTGTGTGAGGAGGCATCCCATGTGCCAGCGGACCTTGGGCTGATTTTGCAGGATTGGAACCCAGGGGACAGTCAAAAAGTGAGGGTTTTTTTATCTCTTTTGACTTTCCAGCACACGCCTTGATGCTGGGGACAGCAGCTGAGACACCGAGATGGAAACCATGTCCACAGACCCTGCTGGCCTGGTGCAGGGCAGTCCCAGGGAGCTGCTGCCTACAGCCATTGCCTGCGGGGACAGGGTGCACTTCAGCATCTGGCTTTGCTGCCACAGAGTCTCCTGGCCTCTTGCCTTGTCACCAAGAAGTGACCTTTTCAAAGCCCCTGAGATGCTGCTGGCCATGGAGACACAGGGGAGGAGGTTTCTGGGACCGGTTTCCCATCTGAGTGGTCATGCATCATCCTGGAGCCCCGAGGGCTGTCCCTTCTCGCCTGCATCACCCATCCTGGCAGGACACCCGCAGCACTGCAGGGTGTGGAGACCAGGTTGTAGATGCAGGGAGGTGATGCTCTGCACGAGCTGAGAGAGCCTGATCCTTCCTTAGGGTGAGGTGTCAGCCCAGCATCCCAAACCCAAGTAGGAAAACCCGCTGACAGTGGGTATTTCATCCCGGCAGGAGGATTCACCTCCCTGGGGGCATCCTGTGGCTGTGCTGTCCCCTTCCCGCTGCCGATGGTTGCGCTCTGGTCTCCCCCATGGTGGCTCCGCAGCTCTGAGCTCACACGCGAGGATGGGCTAAAGTAGCGGAAAGCTGTTGGATCCTACCACAGAGTTACTGACTTCTCAGCTACAGACTGCATAGCAATCAGCGAGGGGGAGAGGCAGCCAGGGAAAGGGAGCGGAGCGCACAGGGAGGAAGAGTGGAAGGGAGAGGGGCGATCTGGGGACCAGAGCAGGGGGGCAGCGAGGGGCACAAGCGAATAACGCCAGGGAAGGAGGGAGTCAGGCAGGAGGGGGAGACCCGAACCCATCACGGAGCCAGGAAGGCACATCAGCGCTCCGTGGGATGGATGCTCCGGGGAGTGAAACATTCTGAGGAGAGGCAGAGGCAGGAGGAGAGCGCTGGCGTGGGCAGGGCAGAGTTAGGAGAGGAGAAGGTCGCGGCAGAGAAGTAGCTCTCCGGGGGGGGGGTGGGGGGGTGGGGGGGGTGGGTTGGGGAGCGTGGAAAGCCCAAGCCAGAGGCAAGTGCAGGCTGCAGAGAGACCTCCCTGATTCCTCCCGTCCGGCTGAGATGCTTCATGGTGAGATGGAGAAACCGGCCGCTTTCCCCTTCCTCTGATGTTGGCTCTGCACCACGGCTGGAGCCGGCGGCAGCCCTCGGCAGGACCCGGGTAAGAGGCGGTGCTGGAGCGCGCTGTTCCCCTCACCGGCACGAGACTGGGAAGGGCTTTTTTTTCCCCTTAGGAAAATAATGTATTGTTTGCTCTGCGCTCGCTCTGAGGAACAGCGATAAATATAACTTAAGGGAGATGCCTGGCTTCGTGTGAGCGTGCCAGCGAATAATAAAGTTGCCTGTGGTGCACAGCGTACGCACATACAGCTACCGCGGCAGCAGTGGGCCATGGAGCAGGGGTGAGCACCTGCCTGTGGACCTTCCCAACTTCCCCCCCCATCCCTCACCACCCTGGCTTCAGTTGCTTTGCAGGTAACTTCCTCATTGCTGTTGTCTCCCCCCCGGTTCTTCCTCTCCTGGGGCTGGGTCTCGCTCACCTTCTGTTTCTCCTGCTCCGTGCAGGTGATGGTTGTGTCTGGCTGTGGGAGACGAACGGAGAGGGAGACCCGTTCTCTACACAATTGAGTGCGCCCAGGGCTGAACTGGCTGTGTTGTCTCTCCCGCTGCTCATGGAGCTTTTTAGGCTCCAGACCTGCCCCCCTTTTCCTTTGCCTTCCAGCTCTTCTAGTCCCAGTGAGGCTGATCCTATCAGTGCTGATCCAGTGTCCCACAGATAGGCATGCTGCAAAGGATGCTCTGGATACTGGGTTTGGGTGAAGGAGCTCAGGAGGAAGTCGTGAGCAAAATGCCAGAGGCACTCTGCCTTTGCTCCCTATTGGCAGGGCCGGCATCCTCACTGTTTGCATGGTGCAGGCAGGTCACCTCAGGCATCCCTGAGGCCACCTCCAGCCCTCCGTGTCCCCACTCCTGGGCAAAGCACCCAGAGACATCCAAGTCTCTCTACTGAGGGCCTGGTCTCCCATCCCCACTGCTGATCCCAGGCTACATCCATGGCAAAGTGAACGGCTCCAGGGCCTCTCCCTTCTCCCCTTCCTTCCTTTGGGGGGTGTACTGCAAAGGGCAGACAGTGACAGCACACACAGGGGACGTGTGGTGGAGGTGACATGGCTCCAAGACTCCCCTCAACCCCTGCTCTGTGCCTTCCTTGGCTTCTCAGGAGGAGGTGGCCATGGGAAGTGGGAGGTGTGGAGAGGGATCTGAGGCTTAGCGTGACCCAGAGCTCTGGAGGGGACAACAGGGTGTGTGGGGAGCATGTTTTTCTGAAGGAGTAGGGATGTGCCCCTTCTCCATTCACCATTGAAAGTGGCACCCACAGATGCCTGAGTCACCCCAGCATGTGGTCATCACTGTTTGTAGCCACTGACATATTTGCCTTAGGAGGGAAATGTGAGCCTGGTGGGGACAAGAGGTGTTAGGGAAGAGGAAGGATGGTGAGTATGGATCAGTTGGAGAGGGCTGATCCAGAGGGAAGCGGGGCTCCTTCTCCTTCACCTTTCCCCTTTTCCCTCTCTCATCTTCCTCTGGTGCCAAGGCTGAGCACCACAACGTTATGACTCTGGCAGAGGGCTGGCAGCATTCTTTGACTCTTGAGGCCACCCTCCACGGTTTACAAGGAAAGCCAGGAAGTGAGGAGGTGGCTGGGGAAGAATGGAGTTTCCCGGCAGGACGGATCCCTCTGGCCCCTCTGGACACCCCAACCTTGGCCACAGGCCACTACCCCGTGTTCCTGTGGTGGTGTCACCGGTGGGAGGGTGCCAGCAAGGGGGAGGAGGACACGGTGCTGGGTACCTGCACCCGCCGCGTGCTGACATCAGTGCAGACGCAGAGCGGAGCAATTAACGGCAATCTGCCCTCAGCGAGTTCCCGTTGTCCTGCCTCGTTACTGCGCTGGGCTGGCTCAACCCGACAGCGCGGCCGGGATCAATGGATGGATGCTCGCGTCTCAGCGATCGATCCCTCCCTCACCCGCGCGGCTCCCCAGCCTCCCGCTGGCGTTTCTGTGAATGGCGAGCACGGAGCGCAGCGCCTGCGCCCGCCTCGCAGCGCTGTGAAACCGCGACGGGCTGAGCCCGTGTTCCTCGACAGTGCTGCTCCGGCGCCCCTCACCGGGAGCGGGGGGGGGGTGTGTGTGGTGTGTGTGTGTGCTTCGCAGGAAGCCCATGGGGCACCAGCAGTGCTTTTCCTCACAGACAAGGTGGCTTTAACGGGGTGGTCGGTCTTGAAGCCCCTCCTCGGGAGAGATGCTGATCCTCTGGCAGTGGGGGGTCGGGATTGGGCAGAGGCCACCTTTGAGCCGGTTCTCACCCTCAGGTCCCTCAGACTTGTTCTCCATCACTGAAGGTGGTGCTGCGACCCAGGGAGGTGAGGGATAGTAGCTGGCTCCAGGGCGACCCTGTCGTTACTGCCCCAGAGACCCATTACCTACATTACCGTCCTCTTGGGAGCCTGATGGCAGGGAACTCACCTGCAGGGGCAGTGTCAACATTCACCCACCGGTGTATTTGGGAATGAGATGCCACTCAGGGCTGGCACCGGCCACACAAGCACAGCAGCACCACAGCTGCTCTCACTGGAGATGAGGGAGCAGGGGATGGAGGACATGGTACCCTCCAGCCTCACACTGCTGGCCAGGGACTCCTGTCACTGCTGTGCCCATATCTGTGCCATCCCTTGCCACCACGGTGGGCCTGCCCCTCACAATCTGGACGGCTGGTTTATTTCTATGGCAACATTTCTCCTGAAACACTTGAAAGGAAGCCTGGTGCCATGTGAAAATGCGGGAGGCAGCGTCCCCCACTCTGTCCCCTGCAATGGGCTCGGAGAAAAGACCTTGGCACCTCTCCTGCCTCCTTCTTCACTCTCTCTCTCCCTCTTTGGTGAGTGGTGCCAGCACTAGTGCAATGAGCTGCCAGCCTCATCCCATCTGCCTCTCCACTGCTTGTTCTCCCCTCCCCTACCTTCATCTTTGCTCTCCCCTCCCCTACCTTCATCTTTGCTCTCCCCTCTCCTCTTGCCCTCTCCATTTCCGTGCTGGGTCACGGTATTTGCTGGAAGCCTGCTTAGGCACCAGCACAGAGGGGCAAGCCGGAAAAAGGCATATAGGAAGAGAATGTCAAAAGCTACTCCTCTATAGAAGAAGGTAAAGCAGTCCGGTAGCCTCAAAAGAGCCATATAGATTGGCTCTGCCAGCAGCATAGTGAGCACAGGGGCTGAAGGGCATCAGGGTCTCAGAGGCAGGACAGGCAGGCACTTCATCTCTCCAAAAGCTTGATGGCATTATGGAGAGGTGGTGCCTGCCATGGGACTAGACACAGTGACCCCAGAAGTCATCACATCTCCTGTCCCCACTGTTCCCACCACCAAGAAAAACCCTCGTGTCTGGGTGCAGGGGACCGTGCAGAGGTTGCAGGCAACAGCAGTGGGTAAGAGACAAGTGCGTGTGCAGGACACCAAAGAGAGTGAGCAGGGGTACCACAGCGACCCGCAACGCTGGCAGGGGGGAAATTGAAGGTGTATTAGTGTGCAGATGCAGTTGCCATGAGCCGCTTCACACTACTTTCCTCTGTACCCAAGCACATCCGTGTTGGCAGCCCCTGCCATGCCGTGGAGCTGAGGAGCAGGGGAAGGATGGGGGAGACGGTCCTCCATGCCATGGGCATCGGGTGGCATGTAGGCTTGGTGCCTTTTGTGTGAGTTTGTTTAACCTGAGTGAGCAAGCTGCAGCAATACAGGCCAACAGACCTGTAGTGAAATAGTCTATTTGCTCCCTGTGGGAGCATGGTTCTGCAGCTTACCTGGGACACTCCCTCAGCTCTGTTCCTGGTGCCCCTTAGGCATGACTGAAAGGGGGGAAGCTGGGACCCCTCAGAGGCTGGTGCCTCCACTGGGCTCCGTGTTAGAGGAGTGACAAGGGTTTTGGGGGTGCATTACTTTTTCCCTATGGCTGATGGGTTAGTGCTGAGCGGCCAGGCCAGGCTGAGCACTCAGCCCTTGCACAGCAGCCGTGTGTGGAGCCGTGGCTGCAGCCTCTCTCAGCTGGGGGCTTGGTAAAGAGCAGGCTTTGCCCTGGGTAGCAGCTCACCCTTTGCTGCTGTCACTGTTGTTGATATCATTCATAACCCATTTGCAGGTGCCTGCCTTGCTGGGTGCTTTGCAGAGGCACTGGCAGGCTGCCCCTTCCCTGTCAGGAGTGCAGCCACAGTGGGGAGTCAGATGATATCCCTGATGAGCCGAAAGTCATGGAAATGCCCCACTTGGGCAGTCCTCCCGGCCAGGCCAGCGCGGGGTCAGGAGGGGTTCTGTGCTGGAGAGACCCTGAGGTGGAGGGACACTGCTGGGGGCAGCCTTTTGACAAGGCTCCTGCAGGGCAGGATGCTCAGTAAGGGAGCTCTTGGGGTGGGTGTTAGGGGAAATGCCCTTTTTGCTGGTGCAGTCATGCTGGGAAGCTGCAGGAGGTGACCTGAGTGCACTGCAGCCACCCAGGGCATAGGGACCTCGGGGACACCCCAGCGCCTTCAGTTTTACAGCTCTTGCAGATTTTGCACCAACCCTTTGGGGTCAGGTCCATGGCTTTGGTAGGATGGCTGCTGGGGTGTACGTCAGCCCCAGGGCTTCCTCGGGAGCAGCCAGGACATGGTCTGCACCCTGGCTACCGCAGAAGGCAGGCTCCTTTTTGTCCCAGAACCGCTCCCAGGGAAGGCCAGGGGCCTTCTGAGCATTTCGTTTTCCCTGTGATGCCAGCCCACCCACCTCACTCGACAAGACAAAGTGGGGACTCCTCCCCAGCCATGGCCCCAGCAGCATGCTCTCCTTACCTTCCTGCTCGGCTGCTCCTCTGCCCCTGCCTCTTGTGCCCCAAGCCCCGTGTCATGCAGAGGAGAGTGGATGAGTGCCCCTGCAGTCCCACCAGCCCTCCTGCAGGGTACCCCTCTCTGCTAGGATCCCAGGGAGCCCAGGCTGTGTGGCCGGAGCAGGGACCGCCGGGGTGGTGTGGGAGCAGGCAGGAGTTGGTGCTGTCACCTTTCTGTGCCTCTTCCCGACTTTGTCATCCCGGAGACCTTTGTGTGGATCCCATTTTTATCTGTTTTTAATCCCTCT